TGCAAGCATGTGCCTGCGTGGAAACTTCGTCCGCAGAAATATCCAGACTGAGCGTGATCCAGCGTGGAAAACAAATGAGCATCATCGAAAACAGCGCTGAGACGCGCGTGTTAGCAACGATCCCATTTGCAAATCAAGAATATATTCTTAATTTAAGAGGAAATATTCTTATATCTGTTAAGAGGAAATATTAAGTACATCTTTCAAGAATACAATTTTTTCGGTGTATACATAGGTATATCTCTTACAATGAGTGATTTTATAATTCGCAAGTAATTTAGTCTCAATTCATAAAACAAAAAATATAATCTGTTTTATATTGAAATATGTCTTTTTTTTTAAGTTTTTTCTTAAAGACCGAATTCAAAACAGAATCCACTTTTCCAGTACAAGGGTTAATAACCTGCGTAACGAGAATCTGCAATCACACACGAGTGGACAATATACAACCGGTTCTCCGAATATCCACGATCCATCTGGCCTACGATTCACAATCGATGGCCGATATAATGCCGTAAACGAACATCAGAATATCTTTAATGGACAGAATCTTGTTAATGACCATCACAATTTCGTTAATGAATATAACACATCGATTAATGGTACATCGATCAACAATCATCAGGCTCCCTGTAAAATAAATAACGGCATTGCAATGAGCCAGATAAAAATTTGGAATACTGAACAATCTGAGTTAAATAACGGTTTGATAAATAATAAATCCGAAAAAACAGATCAATCGAATCATAGGCAAAATGGCTATCCGATAAAAAATAATCAGAATAATATAGATCATAAGAATGATCTCAATCGATTAGCGAACGGAAAAGCGACAAATCAAGAACAGTTCCAAATCGATACTTTCAATATTACAACTAATCTCAGGCAACTTCTAAGGCCGACGGTGATTGAGAAGCGGCAAGAAAGTGCCAAGGCTGAATACGATACGGAAGATATTAACGGACCTTACAATTTTAGGCAATTGCTAAGACCAACCGAGTATCTCCCGACTGAATCTTTAAGAAAAAGGAAAGGAGGAACCGTTTCCAATGGAGTGCCACTGCCGAAGGACAAGGCCCCGGAGAAACATGTTAAGAGAAGAGCGCCATTGGCACCGACACAAAACAAATTGATGAACATAAACAAGTGATATTAATTTATATTATTCAATGGAAATATTTCAAGAGATTTGATTTTATAAAGGATGATTTCATTTTTATGAATAATATATAATACAAAAAAGTAAAAACTCAGATACAAAAAAGTAGTTAATTGTAAAATACTAAAAATTCTTAATTAAACGCGTATATGTATTTTCTGTTGATAAGAAGTGAAATAAGTTAAAATTCTATTATTATTGCCATTTATATAAAAAATAATCTATTGTAAAACTTCAATGTTATTATAGGATAATTCTTATATATATAGAAGGTCCAATATATTCTATGTAGAATATAAGACGGATAATTATATACATACCATATATATATGATATATATATATTGTGAACGTATCACATTAAATCAGGCAACAAAAGTAATATATCGGTATAATATTTATCGCAATATGTGCATTATATGTAAAATGCAAATACTTTCCAATGGAAATATGTATTTGTACTTTACATGCGAATATATGCAGTAGTCACAGTAATATTCCATCGGAATCCCATCGTTTTAGCAATTCTACATTTAAATTCTTTCTTTTGGCAAAAGTACAAAATCGTGTATACAAAGCTGCGCGATTTCAAAATCTAAAGAATTTTCTTTGGCTATGTCTACAATCATGTGTAAAAAGTATTTGCAACATTCATATAAAACAATAAGAATCTTATTTTAGACCGTACATGTGAGAACACAACCAATACGAACTAGAAATTAAATGCCTATACCGGTCAAAGCCGGATTTTTAATGTTTAAATAATTCATATAAAAATATGAATAAAGTATTTTGTGATAATTTATTTTGAAAAGATAACTGAAACAAAGAAAACACTAATAAATGTGAAATTTTATGGTAAATCTTTATCTTTGCTAAAAAATGTAATTACATGAGAGCAATGTTTAATGAATCCGGACTCACATTATGTTCGAATACACTTAACTTTATAGTATAAGTTTTTGATGTTATCAGTGACGGATTAACGCGTAGGCAAACAAGGTACTTGTCTAGGACGGCAAATTTGAGGGGAAGGCAATTTTTTAGATAGAAAATATTTACACAGTTGAAATAAATTTTTAATCTAACGTTTTTGCACGAGTTACACCTAGCATATTTTATCAAAAACGATATTTTAAATATACAGTTAAAAATGTATTATATTTATATTTATTAAGGATTATTGAATGTTTTCACCACAACTAATATCAGAATATAAGCCTTTTTTTTATTCATTTTTCCTTTTATCAAATTTATGTTCAATTAATGAAGCTACCTGAAGGCGGCTAGATGTTGGTGCCTAGGGGCGGCAAAATGTTTAATCCGTCACTGAATATTATTATCCCCTCGTTGTAAAAATACGTACGAGTTCATGTCTAGAACTAGTCATATCTAGCTTTACTTACTCATAAGTGTTCATTATTTTTTTTATGTAAGCATGAATAAATCAAGTTTATTACAAATTTGTATGATTAATTAATAATTAATTGTATATATATCTCTCCAAATAATCGCAGTTATTTAGTAATAAATTTCCAATTCATTTATCTAGAAAAAGAAAAGAGAAGCTTATTCTATGAATCATCCTTGGGGAGATTAAATTTATCTTTTATCGAGACAACAGGTATGTCTCGATTGAATCTTGCTCTATTTAATCCGCAGTTTTTCTTTCTTTTTATTTTTTAAATTAACTTAGTTTGTATGTAAATATAAATTATATTATATAAATTAATTATTTTAATAGTATATATATATATATATATATATATATATAAGTGAGTTGTCAATCCTTGACAAGTTTATTTATATATATCACGATAAAAAAATATATGAAAGTAAACTGCGACTCGCATAGACTCTCGCTTAATGCATTATCGATTAATTTTACACGTTATTCATAGGTTCTTTCTTTTCCACTTTCGGAAGCTCAGACGTTGAAGAATATCCTAGGACTTTCGCGTAACTCGAAATTACTGGCGGCCGTCAACGACAGCATCGGCGAATGACAAGAGCGAAGAGACAAGAGTGTTACGCGAGGAACCAAGAGATGGCTGGGAGTTGTGGCGTCGCGACGTTTAAGCCCAGCGCACCGGCGCGGCGTCCGGCGTCGACGGCAGTAGTTGCGTCGGCGTCGCCGTCGTCGTCGCGCGACGTCGCCCTCGTCATTGCCGGCTCGGGCACGGGGCTCGAAGACCATTGGTTGGTCCGTAGGTAGGAGGGTGTCTGGTGGCTGTAAGCGACGGCAGCGGGGGCAAGGGTTGCAGTCGTGCCGGGCACGCGGGCGGGGGTAGGAGGGGTGCAACGAACCCTCTCGCCTCGGCTCGAGTCTACGGAGCACGGAGTTGTGTTCGAATCATGGCGACACCCGACCCCGTAGACCCAGCCACCCTAGAGATTAAGACCCGTAGCATAGAACAGACACTACTTCCACTAGTGAAACAGGTAAGATGTGTTTCCGCGTGATAATGCGGCAACCAGAGTTTTCGTTCGCACCGGCAGCGCGCCGTCTCTTTCCCATCTGTCTCTTTCTCTCTTTCTCTCTCTCTCTCTCTCTCTCTCTCTCTCTCTCTGTTTCCCTCCCCTCCTCTCCCTCGTTCACCCATCGCCGCAGACTATCCTTCTTTCTCCTCCGTCGCAAACTCCATCTACCTCGCGCTCTCATTCTCGGTCTTTATTCCTCTCGTATGACGTTTCGCGTACCCGGCACCCCCGCGTCTCGTTACATCTCGTTACGTCTCGTATTCGATCCCTAACAGATTGAGATAATTTCTCAATCCTCGGAGTCACTCCCAAGTCATTCTATCTCTCGCTACAGGCTACTCCGATCACGCTTGCGGAAGCATATATGATTTATATACGCGATCCGATGCGCTCGTTGTAGTTGAATCGAGCGAACGAACGAAAAAGACACTACGAGATGTTGAGTGCGTGGACGTGCATACGGCGCAACGGCGCGGCGCCGAGGTCGGAACGCACAGCGCCGCATGACGAAAAACGCAAGAGCAACACATCGAAATGCTGGGTACGCGTGCACCGTGATGCGAGAAAGATCGAGCAGTGAATCGGGTTGAAAAAGTGAGCGCTCGAGAAAACAACTTATAAAACGGTGATATATAAGACGCGTCTCGCGCTCCGCTGACGCCACTCTGAAACTAGAAATAGCAATAGATTCCCACGCTTTTGATCCGCGTGTTCGACATAGCAAAATTTTAACGAATCATTTTCATCTTCCAATAAAGTAATCTTAAATCGCTAATAATTCCAACGATGCTATAGTAAGCGCATTCGAGACGTAAGAAGATGATTTCATGGAATTTGACAACTCTAATGTCAGAGACAGAGACATGTGTCGAATATACGTGCAACTTGTCACGAGGCGCACGGTGCATACAGAGCATACAGAGCATACAGAGTTAACGGATATTTCGGTGGTCCACTATCTTTGTCATTCTCTTCTCCTCTCTTTCGCTCCCTCTTCCGCTACGTCCGTCTGTCTCGCACTTTCTGCACTTGTCTTTTTCTTCCGCGTTGCTCACTTCAGCTGTTGTGGCGCACGCTCACCTTACCGCTTGTCTCTCGACGCCGATACCGGCGTCTTCGTGGAATTACGTTGAATTTACGCTGCACCCTCGTTGCATAATCACCGGCACGTGCGCGATGCACGCACGCGAGCCATATACACACAGATCTGCAGTTCACGGGTCAAAGGCCTTTAAATGACCGCCCGTGAAGAATAAATCGCTCTGCTCCGTTTCGACGACGTCACGCGATTGAGGAAACGTTTTACGCGAAAAACGTTTTAACGTATGCAACGTTAAAACGTGTTAAACATTAGAAATATCTGCTTTGTGTCTTCGAAGAAATTCCAAACTAAAGTTAATTAAAAACTAAAGTGAATTTACATATACTTTACATACAAATACTCTCTTTCGAAAGATTTAGAATTATTTGTGCGCGAGAAGATATAAATTGATACTTGTGTTTTGTACTACCGTCCAGTACATGGTGAAAATTATTATTTTGTTTAAAGATTGTTTGTGAGATAAAATTGTTTTCTCAATAAAACAACTATAAATGCACAACTATAAATGCACCGCATGCAGTAGATTGCACTTGCGTTCATAATTTATGCACATATGTATATGTACCATATATACACATGGTTCACTAATGTAAGTCAAATATCGAAATCATGAACACAATTTCAATTAAACAACGTGTATTTCGCTTCATGCACGCTATATCGAAAACTATTTTATTATCTCATATATCCAATAAAACTCGTTACAGCAAATTATTATTAAAATGATAATATATGCGAATTATCATTAACGCAACATACATACATACGTCATTGGCATGTTTAACTGAAATTAACTGCATCACCGAATGTCAAATTTCACAATGATCATAATGTATTCTACAGAGAGACAGAAAGAAACTTTATTTTACAATTTAAAAAGATATATGTTTTATCTCTTAAGAAGATTTTACAATTGTGCTTCAAAGGAAAACTCGAATATCTTCTATCACTGTCTACTTCAGTAACGAACCTATCTATATAGCAATGAGTTCTCCCTTCGAAGAGCTTAAAAAACCACAACCCAATCTACGATTAATCTCGTCAAATGAAACAGAAAGCAATTTAATTTACGCTTTCGTTAAAACAAGCCGTACCTAAAAAAGAGATTACGTCGACCGATTTCTGTTGTTGAGTGCGCGTCTCGCATGCAAGAAATAATCCGATTGAGCTCGATCCCTCAAAAAAGAATCGTTACTCCGTTAGAATGGAATAAAATAAACAAGACAACAGGCAGATAGATTCGAATAAATTCTTTTCCTTTTTTCGTTGTAATTAATTTCACAATTAATCACAAAAGATATCGCTATTAAGAAAAAGGTTAAAAAGAAACGGCGGATGATAGATGATAAAAAGTCGATAGTTCCGCAAACACATCGATCGAATCGGCTGACGCGATGATTATCATCTATAAAATAAGAATGCGCGGCAGCAAGAGAGAAAACACTAGAAGAAAAAGAAGAACAGAAAGGAAATGGACGGAGGTTATTTCGAGAATGAAAGAGGGGTGCCGATCACCGCTCGTGGCCGACCTTCGTGTCGTGTTTATCGATATTTCTGGCGATGTAGCAGAGTATGCATACACGCACACAGGCCCAGAGTGTGTTTGTACGTGTGTATGTGTTGGTTAAACTCCTCGGGTTAGAAGGGCGTGCAGTACGAGTGGATTGGCTGGTGCATGGCACAGAGGGCGATCGTTACGAGCTGCAGCCACTTGTTAGAGCTCCGTCTAGCTGCCCCCGCGCATACTTATCTCTCCGTCGTCATTTCTTCTCTTGTGTATTCGCCTCTTCTTATCACCTTTCTTCTACTTTTTCGCCCTTGCTGCTATTTCTACTTTTCGCTTTTAGCCTTCGTAGGGCTTTAAGCAGCTTTCTTGGCGATTTCCGTTACGATTTCGTTTCGTCAGATTTTCTATTGACTGCCACTACTATCTTGAACACCTGCGTATCTCACACGTTTCGAACCTTCCGCATATGGAACGTTAATTGTCAATTGTTTTCGGATGGAGAAATAATTGTACTTTACTATGTACTTTACTGACTCTTCTAGAAAATGTTTGAAACTCAAGAGTTTAGTAACTTTTTAATAAAAATCGCCTCTTGATATTATTTTATCAAAAGAAAATTTCTTACATCCAGGTTATATTCTTTACTTTTATGTAAACTAATATATATATATATATATATAATTAACTTTTCACTTAATTATCTTAACTAATAAAATTTAATATTAACAATTTTATGAAGTTTTTGTATAATAAAATGCTAATTAATACAAGTAAAAGCGATTGTTATATAACATTAACAAGAATTATGCACACATATGCATATCACACAAAATGGAGTAGAGATAATTTGGCCACTATTACCATGCAGCAATAACACATGTTTCACGCAAAAAAAAAGAATCATTAGCTGTTACCCAAAAACAACTAAATCATATTTCAAACATCACGTGTAATAAGAGAGTGCTAAAAATATTTATCTTTTGTATGTTAGCCAGAATTACCAATTTCCATTCGTTTTATTTATATTCATTCGCGTTTGTATTACTTACGAAATTGCCATCACTCTAACTTAGTTCCTACGAATGTCTTATAGCCACATTAGAGAGAGAGAGAGAGATATATCTAACGGAGATACAACCATTACCAATCGAAATGATAACAGTGAACGGAGGACGAACCATCGTCCACGAAGACTTCCTCGAGAATGTCATTCTTGGACATTTTAATTAACTTCGACCTTCGATTTAATCTCAAACTGATCCTTTCTAGCACGTTACTGATTGTTAGCCGCGGACGCAGAAAGGGAATGACAATTACACAAATGCTATTTAACTCCTTCATTTTAGGGATTTTGCGCAAGTTATTGAATTTTTCAAATTTCTTTTCTGAGCTTGATTGGTTAAAGACAGTAAGTAATTATTTAAAGTACTATTTGAACTAACATTTTGCGAAATTACGTGAGATATAAGTTGTCGATCATAAAACGCGTTTTAGATCATAATATATCAATTTCTCTCTAATTGTTCTCTGTATTATTGCGCGCGTGACCACAACCATTTAATAGCGTTTTTCACTGGCAGAGCTGATGTACACTTGTCAGTGTACATTAAAGCCGTTGTACACAAATCGACGTAAAGATGTACATTTAATAAAATATAGAAATGAATTACCGAAATCTTCAATACATTTTATTATAGTATTTGATAAAATATACATTGGGTATTTTACAGTTGAGACATCTCACTTTTACATTCAGATTAGGTTGGTGTACAATAGCTTTAATATGCACTGAGTGCGCACCAGTTCTGCCAGTGAAAAACGCTATAAGTATAAGAAAGTCGAAAAAAATATTATAGCAAATTATTAAGGCCCGATTGCATCAACGTTACTTTGATTTTAAGTAAGGCTTAAAACTCTTTCTGTCTCTTTTTGCTTTAAAACGAGACAGATAGAATTTTAAGTCTCATTTAAAATCAAAATGACATTGGTACAACTGGGCCTAAATCTTGTAGGTTAGAAGAACTTTATATTAACCCTCACCGTGTACACGGAGGTCAGTTGTGTCCAGGCGATTTTTATAGTTTTGAATATTTTGAAAGCAAATGAGTACAGGTGCGCCGTTCTGCTAAAAAAACTTGTGGTGTGGAGGAAGACACCCCTGAAAGCCGAGCAGTGGACATCATTTTCTCGCTGAGCAGCGGATATTCGAAATCGAGTGAGGACACAAATGACCCCCGTTATGCACTCAACGCATATTTGTACAAAAAAGAAAATGATTTTTTTCGCGTTTCTTGACTATTTTTTTATAAGTAAAACACATATACATATATAACGAAAAAATTTTTATTCAGT